GTTTGGGGAACCAAACGGACAATCTGCACACAAACGTGACCAGCACCACCTCTGTGCCTCTCAGCCCTTGGGGGGGGTGCGGGGGGCAGCGCCTGACGCCGCCTGGAGTCAGGGCCGCCGCCCCCACGCCCACCCCCACCCCGGAGGCGGCCACAGGCCCGGCCCGGCGCTCCCTCTGGCTGTGTGCTCCCCGGGCTGGGACAGAGCTGGGCCTAAAACCGAACAATTATTTGGGCCGGAGCGCCCAAGCCTCAGCCCTGGGCCCCTCAGAGAGGACGACGGACCACCCCGAAGTCGGTACGGAGGCCCCAGACCCTCACGGCCGGGCTGGGGTGGTCGGCGCGGTGAGCCAGCCAGCGTGTCTGCCGGACCCACCAGGTGTGCGCGGGGCTCCCGCAGTGTGCAAAAAATTATTTCCTGATTTACGACAGGCGAGAGTAACGCTTGGTTACTCGTGTTTTAGGAACACGGAGGGGCCCTCCCGTGACGGTTACCCCAGCGCCGGCCCCTCGTGAGCGGCAGGCGGCACACACGACCAAGATTGATGGTCTCTGCAGGCCGAGGGAGAAGAACCGTGTTTTTCAATGCGCGGCGTGCAGCTGTCGTGCCGCCCCCGAGGACGGCACGGTCACCGCTTCTGGGGGACAGTCTCCATCGCGCCTCCCGGGGAGGTGGGTTTTCTCTCCTCGCTGTGCTGACACACGCAGGCTCAGCCTGTGGGTAGGCAGACGGTCAGCCTGGAAGGCGGGCGGGGAGCCCGGCTGGGGTCCGGCGGGCACTCCAGAAGCTCCACCGCAGACGCAGACCCTGCTTGGGTCTGCGGCCCCGCAGCGCACTTTGGGGAGGTCAGGGGTGCTGACATCTCCCAAGGGAGGTGGCCCCCACTGCCTGCTCCTGAGAAGACCCGCCCGCGCCGGGTTCAGCGTTTCACGGCGCTAGGTCGGCACACTGTTGGCCAGCATAAGCCTCAGCAACACCCCCTCCCCCAGCAGAAAAAGAAAAACAACAACAGAAAGGAGAGAAAATGACACGTTCAGTGTCCAGGAGTTCGGGTGCAACCTTCCCCGTCACCGCTAGTTGTCACTTGGCTCCCAGACGGGAGAGAGAGGAGGTTCGGCACTGCGGTGTAGAGCGAATGCAGTCCTAATTAACCGGGCAACTCCTGAAGCTCCCCTTCGGTCCGCAGCCCAGTGGGGGCCGCATGCGGGGGGCTCGGCCCCGCGGGGCCGCGGGTGGAGGGGCCGAGAGAAAACAAGAGCCCGGCGGTCCGCGCCCACCCGCCCGCCCGCCGGAGCAGACCTCCGGGCACCAGCCAGACACCCTGCGGGCGGGGAGGGGAGGAGAGGGAAGGACCCGGCCGCGGCGGCGGCTGCACCCCCTCCCCACAAAGAGGGGCCGCGGCGGAGCCGGCCTGCGCGCGCCTGGGGCTGCGCTGCGCTAGTGATGTGGTCAGTAGAAAATCGCATACCTGACGAATACAATGGTCTCCCATAGGTAGAGTCGAAGAGTATTGAAGCTGTACATTTTTCAGGTCTTTGTGCTTTGTAGTCCCCGAGTTATGGGGGCGACAACGTTTCAGGGTGGCACTTGGAAAAGCGGCGGGCGCTGCTGGAAATTAATCCGGGCGCGAGGGGCGGCGGGCGGCGGGGCGGGAGGGCGCGGCGGCGGCGGCGGCGGTTCAGCACCGCGGAGAGCGCCCAGCCTGCGCCCGGCGCGCGGTCGGCTGTTTGTCAAACTCCGGCGCGTCCGCGGGTCCTGCGGCGCCGGGAGGCGCGTTCGGGGCTGGGTATATTTTCTTTTCCACCCGTTTTTCGGTTTAAACGGCCAGCTCAGGGCAAGGAAGAAAAATCTGTGCAGATCAGAGCGCGGGCCTCGGACGGCTGGGCTGGGCGAGCGTTCGGGCACGGAGAGCCTGCTCACTGCCCCGGCCGGCCGCGGGGCTGGGGCTGGGGTCCAGCAGAGGGGCCGCCTCAGTTAAACCCCGGAGAGCGCGCCAGCCTGGCGCAGCGCGACCCGGTCCCGGAGCCGCATGCCCGGCCTGCGCCGGTCTGCTGTCGCCTGGCGATCCTGGTTCTCGGGTCCCCGCCGACTAAGTTACGGTAGCCGCAGGGTCGGAGTCCCATCGCTCAGGGCTGCGGGCTTGAGAGGGCGCCGGGCAAGTTTCGGGGGCTGCGCGGCTCCATGGCGACCCGCGGCTCGGGGGCCCTGGAGCCCAGATGCGGCTCAGTTTGCAGAGCGCCCCTTCCTCCGGCCTGGGCTCCTTGAGATCTTCAGACTTTCTTACCGCATTAATTTAACAAACTGGTGGCGTTGGGGGGGGCTGGGGGGGCAAGGCCGATGGGAGGGGCGGAGAGGAAAAAAGGGGGGAAACTCCTTAGTATCTTCAAACCCTCCCACTCGGGCGCTCATTGGCCGGCGGGGAGGAGCCGGCCCCGCCCCACTCCTGCGCCAATGGCCGTCAGGGGTTGAGTTAACGCTTGAGGCGCCGGGCCCCAGCCCCCGCCCCTGCAGCCGGTGGGCGGCTGGAGGTTGTGTCGGCTCAGGTCTCTCCAAACACGGTTTCGGTTTCAGAAGAACGGGCCTGTGTGGGACCGAGGCGCGCCCGCCTCCCGGCTCAGACGGCTCCTGGGCTCAGTGTACCTTTTTAACAGACACGAGCTGAAGCAGAGCCCGAGTTTCTGTAGACGCAAGTTTCAATATCCCAAGGAAAGGCGAGGTCTCCGGAAGAAGTCTGACGAGGCCCAGCTCCCACCCCCACCCCAACAAGCTTCTGCTGCAGGAAACCCCGAGAGAAACCCCGCCAGCAGTTCCCGTTGGAGCAGCCGGCCCTGCCCCCTGCTGCGCCTGTCTGGGGCTGGGGAAGGCGGCTGTGCCCTGCAGGACCGCGTGCCCGGCAGTGCCCGGCGGGCCTGAGGGCAGCGGCCAGTGCGCCCGCCCGCGGCCGGGCAGCCCGTCTCCCCACCTTGCTGGGTCCCAGAGACCAGCAACCGCTGCACCTAGCCCCAGCTGGGAGGTGGAGTTAATCAGATTTTCTCCAAGCTCCTGGACCCCAGTGGATCAGTAGCTGCTGTAGGATTTTCCGGCTGATTTGAACCGACGGGCGGGGGCCTCCCAGCCACGCAGGCAGCCCCCGCCCCAGCCTCGGGGCTCCTCCTGGGGCTGTTGGAAGCTGGTTCTCCTGAGAATAGTTCACAGCCCAGCTCCAAGCCCAGCCCTGCTCTGCTAACCTCGCCCGCCAGCTGCCCGCAGCGGGTCCCCCCGCCAGACCGCCCGCCCAGCGCTCCCTCTGTCGGCTCTGCAAACCAGGCAGTGATGGGCTCCTGCGCACTGGCTAAAAAGGAAATTTTATTTTGAAAATAGGTACTCCTGTGAGCCGGAGAGAGATTTATGAGGCATCTACCTTTTTGCTCACCTGCCCGCCTGCTTACCTACCTGTCCGCCTACCTGTCACCTATGTAACCATCCATCGTCTTTCCCACCTGACTGTCTTCCTACCGACTTACCCACCTGTCTACCTGCCTATCTACCAAGCTATCACCATCTGTTTTTTCTTTTAAAGATTTATTTATGCACACAAGAACTGGGGTGCAGGCCAGAGGTGCAGGGGGGTGAGAGGACTCCCCAGAGACAGAGTGGGGAGCAGGACAGGCAGATCCATTGAAACCCACTGCTGAGGGGAGCAGTGGGGAGACAGGAGAGGTCTGCCGCGCCCTGGGGTCCCTCCCTGGCCGGGGGTTGCACTTGGTCCCGGGATGCGAGTGCTCTGGAGCCCACGGCTGTGCCCCCGGGGGCAGCGGTCAGCTCTCCCGCCAGCTCCCACCAGGCGCCAGCTTCCTTCCCTTTCTAAAGCTGCAAAGCAGTAGCCTTGGTGGGTGCACCATGGAATACTACCCAGCGGTCAAGAAAGGTGAGTCTGCAGGGGCGTGGCGAGAGCCTGAGAAGGACAAGGACGAACGCGGCCGGGGGGTCAGAGGCATCCGGAGGGGGAGCAGGGGAGCAGGCCGGAAGGGGGAGCTGGCGCGGGGGTGCAGGGTAACTGGGTGCTGGGTGCACTAGGGTGGGGACACCTGGTGGGGCCCCAAGTATGAGCTTGACTCAGAGCAAATACACTGGGGAATTAAAAATAAAGATGGGGCCTCGGGCCTGCCTGGGCGGCACTGGAACTGGGTCCCGAGGAGCGGGGGGCCGGGGGTGCACCTGCCCCTGCTTCCCGGCTGCTCCCCGGCCAGCAGGCGCGAAGGGCTCCAGGGCTCAGGGCCGCCCACAACCTCGCCAGCCAGCGGCCTGGAGACCCCGCAGAGGGGGCCGGGCTGTGCGGCCGGGACCTGGCTTCTGCGGACACCGCGGGCCCCGCAGCCGGGCTCCGGCTCCGTCTGCGCCCCAAGCCCTCTCAGCAGCCCTGCTCTCCCGCCTGCCCCCTCACTCGGCCCCCCCACAGCGGCTCTGCCCCCTGCAGCGGGCACCGCTTTGGGAGAACCTGGGCCCGTCCGGTGTGAAGAGTCTGTCTTGGACGCCGGCCGCGTGTCCGAGGCTGCCCTGAGGTTGGCCTGTCTCAGGGGAGACTTGCACCTTTGGGTCTCCCCAGCCCAGCCCCTCTCTCCGGCCAGGGCCAGGGTGCGGCCCCGGGGGCGCCTCGGTGGCGCTGACCCTGGCCTCCGCGCCAAGGAGAGTCAGCCGGTGCCCGCGTGTCCCGCCTCTGACCCACTCCGTTGTGGGGTGTTTTTCAGGCTGGACAGGGTGGGGTGTTCTCAGAATCGACTCCGGACAATCGGTGTTGCTCCTTGTCCACGTTTGGGGGCTCCCTGGGAGCACCGCTGGGCTGGCGGGCCCGGGTGGGGGCCGCCCTCCCAGGCTCCCCCCGAATGGCATCTGACTGAGAAGTGGGGTTCCTTTTTGTGTTGGGTTTACCAGGTTGGATTTTCCTGGCATCTGCATCGTCCTGGGCATTTGAGGTGTGTCTCCAGGCCCTCCCTGGGGCGCAGGGGTCAGGTCTCAGCGCTGGCTCAGTATCGGCTCCTGCAGCGTTTGAGTCCGACCCCCCGCCAGGGAGTGACCTGCAGGGCACAGCAGACTCTCCTGTCCCCCGCTGCTCCTCAGCAGATCTCAGTGGGTCCACCTGTCCTGCTCCCCACTGTCTCTGGGGAGTCCCCTCATGCCCGCCTCTCTGGCCGGCACCCCAGCTCTTAAGTGCATGAATAAGCTAGTCTTTCTTTTTTTAAAAAAAGATTTATTTATTTATTCATACAGAACTGGGGTACAGGAGATGCGGAGGGTGAGAGGATTCTCCGGGGCCGGCGGGGATCGAACTCGTGCGGAAGCGGCTTGAGCTTCTCAGTGCTGGGCTCTGACCCGCTGCGCCCCAGGGAGGGCCCTGAGTAAACCAGTCTTAAAAACAAAGTGCACCTTCACTCTGCTTAAAGTGGCTGTGACCCGCCTGCTTGCCGGTCAGTGGGAGCCAGTGGGTGTCCGGCCGCAGCGGCCTTTCCTGCACGCCCTGTCTTTTCTCCCTTACCCCCTCTCGGGGCTCGGCCATGTCGTCGGTCGCTTCAGGTAGCCCCCGCGCCCTCGTATGCGTCTGTCTTCCGAGTCCGCAGCAGAAGCGTTCGGGAGCTGCGTCTGGCTTTTTCCACCTTTTGAAACGGAAGCTGAGCACGCGGGTTTCCAGCACCCGTGGCGTCGCCCGCGTGGGCTGCAGGCTGCCCGCCGCGGTCCCGGGGTGTGGACGGACAGCCAGCGGCGTGTCCGGGCCGGGGCTGTCGCTGACGCCTGCCGGTGTCCGGGCCGGCCGGGCCTGCCGCTCTCTGGTGCCTTTGCCATCGCTTTCCCCTCCTCCCACCCGGGCGCATCCACCTGAGGGCCGAGCAGGCCAGAGGAAGTGAAAGGTCGCTGCCCTCCAGGCTGGGGGCTCTCGCGGGGGGGGGGGGGGGCTCCCAGGGCGCCTCTCTCCAGAGTCAAGTTTGCAAATAACAGTTTTCTGATTTTTGCTCGTTAGAACAGTTCTCAAAACACTGACTGTGCTCCGCAGTGAGCCCTGGAACCGCGCTCACGGAGCCGCCCGGCCGGCCCGTCCGCGACCTCAGGCCGCCCCACGGCGCGTCCACACCTCCCGCGCCTCCGAGGGCGGGGTCCTCCCGGGAGCCAGGACAGCCAGGCCGGCTGGAGCTGTGACCCCCGGCCGGCGGCTGCTCCCCAGGCCCAGCCCGGCGCTCCGGCCGCGCCGCCCGACAGCCGGTCTTCTCTGGCCTCTGTGCTCGGGCCGACTTTGCACACAAATTGGATTCATCTCAATTGTTTTAATTTCCAGGCTGCCGTTTCCACTTGCTTCTTTTTGCTCGATTATAAAATGAGATTCTGGTTCTCTGGAGAAATGCTTCATCTTTCCGTCTGTTTTCACGGGCATGTTAATCCCAATTATTTTCAGGTTCCTATCTGATGTTCCAGCCTGGGTCAGCTGTCGGCGTGTCCCTCTCCTGGTCTCTTAAACGCGACGTCGGCCGGGGGACCGTTTATGTTGCGCTGGAGCTTTGCCGCCAGCTCTGGGGTCACTGGGAGGGGGCCGGGCGGTGGGGAGACGCTGGGGCGCAGCACCCGGCCGGCGCCCCCCCAGCGCCCCCTGGGGGTTTCCTTCTCTGACCTTCCTGCTCTCCCTGTCCCCATGCTCCCCTGTCTCAGAATTCTGATTTTATGAAAAGTACATTTTCATCTCTCTGGAAGTGACAGCGTTCAGGGGACCCTTACACCCCAGCGTCCAGGCTTTACAAGTCTCCACCAACGCCCTGTCCACCCAGCGAGCACTGACCACCGCCCCATCTCCCGGCCTCCGGGCTCTGTCCATGCCTCGGCCTCCCGCGCCGACGCGTTCCTCCTCCTCTGACCCACCTCGAGGGGCGGGCACCCCGCCCACCCTGTCGTCACAGACGGCCAGCAGGCCCGTCCTCCCCTGCCTGGGCTGCGTGGGTGGCCGCGTCCAGGCCCTGCCGGCTGGGACAGCCGCCTGGACACACATTTCTCCAGAGTAGCCCTCGTGTTCCCTGGCAAACACCCCCACCTGGGAGGGCCCGGGCGTGCCTGTCTGTAGGTGCTTATTCCTGACTCACACGTGCTGCCCACGCCGGCACGCACACACCTGCATGCACACACCTGCACGCACACACGCCCACAC